ATTTTATTCCCTGCTACCACCTAAAAACCTGGAATGAACAAATCCAAGGCCCCAAAATTCTCAGATTTTTTTGAGGGTGGAGTTTTGGAAAGTTTGGGATGTGGAAATGATGGGATTTTGGAAAGTTTGGGATGTGGAAATGATGGAATTTTTCCCTTTTCCAGCAGAAAAATGTGGAAAGTGTGGGCCGGGCTATGCCAGTCCCCTGGAGGCCATGAAAGGCAAGTGCTGGGAAATTATTATTTTATTTTATTTTATTTTATTTTATTTTATTTTATTTTATTTTATTATTACTATTTTATTATTTTTATTCTTTTAGTCATTATTATATAGAATTATAGAGAATTAATAATAATTAACAATGATAATGATAATTATAATAATATGGTAATAATGATGACAATACTATGGTAATAATAATGATAATAATGACAATAATAACAAATTATTAATGAAATAATTGAGATTTAAAAATTTTGTTAATTTCTAATATATGAAGAATATCTAAAATATGACAGATGTGAAAGCTGTAAAGTGTAGAATGGATATAAAGTAAAATATATTATTTATATGAAATAAGGCCTATAAAATTTATAAATTTAAATTAAAATAATAAAAAATATTGAATGTATTAAGTTTATGCACCAAATAAAATCTATAAAATATATAAAATAAATATGTAAAATATAGAAAATGAATACATAGCATATATAAAATGAATATATAAAATAAATACATAAAATATATAAAATATGTATAAAATAAATACATAAAATTCAAAGGATTCCTTACAAAAAAAAAACAGGAAATCCTCAGGTTCAGCTGGACATTCCTGTTGGATTTACCCCATTTTGGGATAAAAAATGTGGAATTTTGGGGGATTAATCCCAATTTTTGTCCCCAAGGGCCCCGGGAGCAGCTCCTGTACCTGCCCTGCATCTACCGGAACACCGGGATCGACCTTCCCGACTTCCTGGCCACGGTGGATGTGGATCCTGAATCCCCAAATTACTGCCAGGTACAGTCAGGGATCTCAAAAACCCCAAATTACTGCCAGGGACTGAAATCTGGGATCCCAAAAACCCCAAAGTACTGCCAGGGACTGAAATCTGGGATCCCAAAAATCCCAAATTACTGCCAGGGACTGAAATCGGGGCTACCAAAAACCCCAAATTCCTGCCAGGGACTGAAATCTGGGATCCCAAAAACCCCAAAGTACTGCCAGGTACAGTCTGGGATCCCAAAAATCCCAAAGGACTGCCAGGGACTGAAATCGGGGATCCCAAAAACCCCAAAGTACTGCCAGGGACTGAAATCTGGGATCCCAAAAATCCCAAATTCCTGCCAGGGACTGAAATCTGAGATCCCAAAAACCCCAAAGTACTGCCAGGTACAGTCTGGGATGCCAAAAACCCCAAATTACTGCCAGGACTGAAATCTGGGATACCAAATCCCCAAATTACTGCCAGGTACAGTCTGGGATCCCAAAAATCCCAAATTACTGCCAGGGACTGAAATCTGGGATCCCAAAAATCCGAAATTACTGCCAGGGACTGAAATCTGGGATCCCAAAAACCCCAAAATACTGCCAGGGACTGAAATCGGGGATCAAAAATCCCAAATTACTGCCAGGGACTGAAATCTGGGAAAATCTGGGATCCCAAAAACCCCAAAATACTGCCAGGTACAATCTGGGATCCCAAAAATCCCAAAGGACTGCCAGGACTGAAATCTGGGATCCCAAAAATCCCAAATTCCTGCCAGGGATTGAAATCTGGGATCCCAAAAATCCCAAAGGACTGCCAGAAACTGAAATCTGGGATCCCAAAAATCCCAAATTACTGCCAGGGACTGAAATCTGGGATCCCAAAAACCCCAAATTACTGCCAGGGACTGAAATCTGGGATCCCAAAAACCCCAAATTGCTGCCAGGGACTGAAATCTGGGATCAAAAATCCCAAAGGACTGCCAGGGACTGAAATCTGGGATCCCAAAAATCCCAAATACTGTCAGGGACTGAAATCTGGGATCCCAAAAATCCCAAAATACTGCCAGGGACTGAAATCTGGGATCCCCAAAACCCCAAAATACTGCCAGGGACTGAAATCTGGGAAAATTCGGGATCCCAAAAGCCCCCAGCACAGCCAAGTATGGAAATTAGGGAAAATCCGGGATCTCCCAGTCTTTCTGAACAAAAAAGGGAAAATCCCTTTTTTTTTTTCCTGGAAAATCCCAAATTCTGGACCATTTTCCCCGTTCCCAGGTGATCCATTGACTCCATCCAATCCAACTCCCTTCTCCCATTATTCCCAATAATTCTCCCAATAATTCTCAATCTCCCTGCACCACTTCCACCCCATTTTTCCTGTAAAATCCCAAATTTTTGACCATTTTTCCCGTTTCCAGGTGATCCATCGACTCCATCCAATCCAGTCCATCCAACATCTTTCTCCCAATAATTCTCCCAATAATTTCCCCTATTTTCCCAATCTCTCTGCACCACTCCCACCCCATTTTTTCCTGGACAATCCCAAATTCTGGCCCATTTTCCCCATTTCCCAGGTGATCCATCGACTCCATCCAATCCAGTGTGTCCAACTCCCTTCTCCCAATAATTCTCAAACTCTCCCAATCACCCTGCACCACCCCCACCCCATTTTTTCCTGGAAAATCCCAAATTTCTGTCCATTTTCCCCCATTTCCAGGTGATCCATTGACTCCATCCAATCCAACTCCCTTCTCCTGATAATTCTCAAACTCTCCCAATCTCCCTGCACCACTCCCACCCCATTTTTTCCTGGAAAATCCCAAATTTCTGTCCATTTTCCCCCATTCCCAGGTGATCCATTGATTACATCCAATCCAACTCCCTTCTCCCCACTATTCCCAATAATTCTCCCAATAATTTCCCCTATTTTCCCAATCACCCTGCACCACCCCCACCCCATTTTCCCTGGAAAATCCCAATTTTTTGCCCATTTTCCCCCATCCCCAGGTGATCCATCCAATCCAGTCCAACTCCCTTCTCCGAATAATTCTACGAATGATTCTCCCAATAACTCCCCTATTTTCCCAATGTCTCTGCACCACTCCCACCCCATTTTCCCTGGAAAATCCCAAATTTTTGCCCATTTTCCCCATTTCCCAGGTGATCCACCGCCTGCCCATGCCCAACGTGGCCGATGAGCTGCACCACTCGGGTTGGAACGCCTGCAGCAGCTGCCACGGTGACCCCGGCAAAGCGCGGAACCGCCTGGTGCTGCCGGGGCTCATCTCCTCGCGCATCTACGTGCTGGACGTGGGCACCGAGCCCCG